ACATAATATAATGATGTTTTGAGGTCTTCTAAATCCAAGGTGCAACCTAGCTTTAAAAGATAAACAGCCTCAAGAAGCTTGGGTCTCATCATCACACCCCTATTATACCATATTATTCGTCGTCATTGTCGTTGTCCCACTGCTTGGAAGCAGTCCTGTAATAAGTTTGAAGAAGACCTCTTTTTAATTTATTTAAAAAATATTTATTCTCAAAATCAAACAACAATGTACAGTAATGAAAACTGAACACTTTAGTAAGTGTATGAGTGTGAAATACAAATAAATTGTTAAGAGATACATGGAAATAAAATTTCATTGTATCAGCTGTTTACTGAGACATACAAATAATACAAATATGCTGTGTACATATTTACATGTATAGGCTGTTCAATAAGTAATGACATTATGGCTGTCATTTTAAGAGATTATCATGAAATTTGGTCAGATTAGCACAAATACACTGTTTTATAAGTGTGATGAATTTTATTAATAAAAACAAAATATAAAGTACAATTATCCCTTTATAAAAAATAGTGGGCACGCCACTTGACTTGAAAGATCTGAAGCACAAGTAAAATTATAACACAAAATATTGACGAATATTGATATTCTTTAAGATTGACAAATATTATAATGATTTATACCCCTTAGTATAAATATATCATAACAAGCATGCACATATGAATTCAAAGTCACTCAAAATAGTCTCCATTAGCATCTATACATCGTTGCTGTCTCAACACCCATTCATCAAAGACATTTTGAAATCCACTTTGTTCAGCTTTTCTGAGAATTCTCTTTGTCTCAGTCAAGAGTTCCTGTTCTGATGCGAAGTGCTGTCCCCTAAGTCCCTTGATCTCTTACTCATAGAGTCATTACCATAAGCCTCCAGGATATACTGCTCTATATCTTTTGCTTTTTTCCAAAGCAATACAAATGATTTTATTGAACCCCTTTGCTGTAGTGCCAAACTCATGTTTTTGCAGTTTTCAGGACTTTTCCTTTTTTTGAGGGAGTCTATGATCATTATGACTCATTGGATTCCCTACTTTTGAGAAATTAACTGTGATGTCATACCATTTAGTTACCATAGCAACATACACACAAAACATAAACACAAAACATAAAACATAAACACAAAAATTATGCTTCGAAATCCACTATACTCAAGAAAGATAGGGGTATAAAACATGTACTGATGGGCGGGCCATCATTCTTATCATTCTTATCGATTTGGATCCAAGTCAAGTGCTGTATCCTCATGTTGCTATGGCAACCAAATTACTGGTTATTATTAGTTAAATCTGGTGATTTTCCGCATATAAATAGACAAATGTATTTTCAACATATGGTGAAAATTTGAGATAAAACAAGCAAAATTTGACAAAATGAGAGCCTTGGTGTCATTACTTATTGAACAGCCTATATATTACATGTACATGTATATTGATAGAGAGTTACTATATAGCTGAGTAAAGTTGAATTAATAGATGTCACCACTTGTTTTTATTTGTTTTGGTTGGGCCGGACTGCCAAAGGCTTCAATGTTAAAAACTTGTTATAGTCACTTTATTTCATGATTTATCAAAAAGAGCTGGTTGAATATAATGCATAACCCTGTTAATGTACTAATATTGTGATTAATCATGAAAATTTGGTTGTCAGAAGAATAAACCAAGGTTTTGAAGAATTTTAAAATAGCATCAATAGAGATTTGGCCCACATATTTTAGAAAAGTTGAAAAAGTCATGAAAAATGATTAAAATAACATAATAACTGTATTAATCAAAGTTATTATTCATATTGTGTAAAATGTTTCACTGAATTTAAATATGCTATTAAAAAGAAGGAAAAGTAAATCACTGGAGGTTTAATATGCAAATTTCATGAAAAAATGAGAATTAATGAATGAAAGCTATAGAAACTCTATTCTTTCACATTCTTTTTAAAATAAGAGATGGATGGTGATGCTTAAAATTGTCTAGCTAGTAGATTAAAAGGTTAGCCCCTGAATAGTTTGTTATAGAATTCTAATTATTACAGAAGTTAACACAAGTCTACTGTCTATACTATTACTACATAATGTTTAAAATGATAAGAAAACATATTAAAAGACATAGTACTCATTGGTTGATATTAATATGAACTAAATCCCACACCTATTGGATGAATTCTATTATGTCTATAAAGTTGTCCATAACTTTTGAATCATCCCTCATATTCAGTAAATATTGTTATAGCCTAATTGGGAATTTAAGGTTCAGCTGGAAAATAACATTTTGGTAGAAAATTGCTATACCTGCACATGTTATTTTCTGGTACAAAATAAAGTATGACAGCATTTGTCAATTTCCTTGCTTTTTTTCAGGAAAGTATCATTACATTGTCTTCTTTTAGAATATCTGGTAGGAGTCGCAATGGGAACTCCAGGAAATTCTGATGTTTCACACTTTCTATTTTTCCAAATTTTCTTTCAAAGTTTCCAGACAACACAGGAGCTACCATTGACCTGTTTCCAGGTTTACTAAAAGTAGACAGTGCCACATTTCAGGGCCAAGATTATCTGCAAGCTAACTACTTTGCCAGCACATGCTTTTTGCAACATAATATATTAATCTAATGAGTCTCAAGATGATAAAGCATTGCTTCAATTTCAACTAAGGGCTAAGCTAGTGCCTGGTAGTAACTTTTGAGTATAATATGTACACTTGATATAATATGTACATCTTTCCATGTTACTTGTATGAAAGATTGTACATGACCTATGTTTATGGAAATAAAATAACCTTGAAAAAAAACTTGAGCATGTTGACAGTAATAGTAGTTTATTATTAAATATTGAGCTCAAGGACCTGTTCCTGCAGCACTTCTGAAGAAATTCCTCATCTTCTACTAAAACTGAACTTTTTGGAACCCTGCATGTTGGAATGTTCTGATCAAAATACTATAGCTCTTGGCCAAGCAAAATAAAACATCCCATGGCAATATTAAAGTAGCTGTCTCATTAGCATTCCCCACCATGTTTTACCCTGTGGCAAATTTTGAGGATTTATCTTGCTGTTTTGCAAAACATGTATCCATGCAGTGCCCTACTGCCTACCCCAAAGTATTCACACAGTGGTGAATGGTAAGCTCACACGGCCTTAATGTGACAGCTCCATAAAATAAAAGATATTGGATTATTTAAGAAAGTAATATGCATATATGTAGGAATGTGCAATTGTTCATATTATACAAGCTGGAAGATTCAGCTTTCATAAATTCAACAAAGGCTTATTATATAATACACAGTAAGTATATGCTAAACATGAAGTCTAATATTCAAAGGACTGCCAGCAGTATGAACAATTTTTATGAAATGAATCATTGCACTCAACATCAAACACTGCATGCCAAATATGGAAGGACATAACAATATGATATGCATAATAATAACGGGTTTGTAGAAAAAACCTTTGATCCCGCCTTTGACAAGCAGAGGTCCTACACCCATAAAGGCACAAGTCTACCAAATCTGTCAACTAGTATTTGAGTAATTGTCCTAACACAATAATGAATGGACAGTGGAGGAACAGATGGATGAATGGCTTCTCTGTATATCCCTATGAACTTTGTTTGGTGGAATATTAACAGTATCGACATCGACATGTGTATATTACAAGCTCATAGCATAATTTACACATTTGTTATTTCGTTAGCAGATGACCAGCATTTGCTTATAAAATATAGGGTTTCAAAGTGACACGGATATCTTGAAAATAACATTTCCAAAAAACACCTCTGTAAATAACTTTACATCAACATGAATCATAAATCCATTATCAGGATTTCAAGGAAACTGTAATTCTTTGAATTCCTGAACAATTACTGTCCTATATATTACTAATGCTGCCAAATCATTCATCACAAATGATTTTGATCTGATTCTTGATAGCCTTCCAATCATATATGAAACCATCTAAGTCCATATTATTCTCATAATGTCAAAATCATTTCCAATAATATATCAGGTGTCCCAAAAAAAATGAGGCACTTTTTGACAAATATCATCTCGGCAACTGATGATCCAAATTCACTGAAAATTTGTACAAGGTAGTCTAAGAGTATCTTTAGCAAGTTGTAAAAAGATAAAAAAGATCAAGTAAATATTCTGTGAGTTCTAAGAAATTCAAAACAGCATGTCAAAAATTCCCATACCGGAGCTCTGATATGAGACTTCAAAATGTTTGTACCAGCTATCGTCTTCGCACGCTCAGTCTTCATTGTGTTTGATGGGAGCCGAGTGATATCTGATCAATTCTTTTCATTCATCCCAAATATCCAAAATCCAATTCATTCTCAAATTCATTGGAGGTGATATTGTAAGAAAAAATGCGGAAAAGTATTTTTACTTGGAAATGGATTAATAAGTGAGTTTTACATTGATATTGGTTATTTTGACATACTGTCTTTAATTCTAAAATACACACATACTATGAGACCAATCTCTTACATATTCATAGCACTAGGAGAGGATAACCTAAAGTGCTTAAGGTAAAGTTCTCGAAGAATTTGGCTATCTATTGCTGAGAAATTACTTGTCAAATTGCTTCTCATTTTTCGGGTAGAAATGCTATAAAGTTCACATTGCATTGCTCCGGTATGGGCTATTATGACATGCTATCTTGAATTTCTTAGTTCTCATATAATATTTACATGATCTTTTTCATATTTTTATACTTTGCTACCAATACTCCTGGGCTACTCTGTACAGATTTTCAGTGAAATTGGTTCATCAGTTGCTGAGATAATACTTGTCAAAAAGTGGCTCAATTTTTTTGGGACACCTGATATATGATTTTCAGCTTTCCTATAGTACTAAGTCGATCCAGAAGTTCTGATAAAAATGCTCTAACTTAAAAGTTTATCATCCGTTTTCCACAATATTTTCAGAGTAACTGGGTAATTTATTCCCTCATAGAATATGAAAAATTTAGATGCTGGTAATGAATATTTCTGAAGTTGTGATTGCTATGGTAACCTCAATAGCTATAGCGGGACAGGGTAAAATTTGTGAAAATTTGTGCTGTATAGCCATATGAATTATGTGAATTGTGTAAAAATTTCAATTTCCTCTTCTTATGAAAAACATACAGCATTTTTATCAGAACTTCTGGATCGGCCTTTGTATATCATAGTACAAGAATTTAAAATAGATCTCACAGTGAATGACCTACATTTTATCAGATATATGTCTATGTCCCAGTTATACTGACCAATGTTAGGACTGCACCCTGTAGCTTCCCAGTGATATATAAGTCAAATATAGCCTGCTGATTGCAATTTGTCTTTGTTTTTGAGTTTGATTCCTTTTAATGGCATAATGATACTAGGAATACATCTTGTAGTGGTGAGACAATGTAACCTCAGAGTTGGGAAGAGAATGGGAGTAGTAATGACTCAGCATGTGAGGTATTGACTGAAATGTACATCCAGTTTCTATGTGGAACTCATCAGCCTGAAATAACACAAGTACTATAACATTACATCAATCATAACACTGTTCCTGTGAATTGCTTGTTTGGTGATTCACCAATCCTGTGCAAGATTGTCATTTTAATGTATGTTTATCACATGCACCTCTTTATAACTTCATACATATTGAGAGATTTTTCATAAATCTACCAAATTAATAGTCCATGAAATGGCAATACAACATAATATGAAATGGCAATACAACATAATATAAATATGCCAATGTGCATGAAATGGCAATTCAACATAATACCAATGTCAATGAAATGACAATTCAACATAATAGCAATGTGCATGAAATGGCAAGTCAACAAAATAACAATTGCCTATGAAATGGCAATTCAACATAATACCAATGTGCATGAAATAGCAATTCAACAAAATATCAATGTCCATGAAATAGCAATTCAACATAATAGCAATGTGCATGAAATGGCAAGTCAACAAAATAACAATTGTCTATGAAATGGCAATTCAACAAAATACCGATGTGCATCAAATGGCAATTCAACATATTACCAATGTGCATGAAATGGCAATTCAACAAAATACCAATGTACATGAAATGGCAATTCAACATATTACCAATGTGCATGAAATGGCAATTCAACATACTACAATGTGCATGAAATGGCAAGTCAATATAATACCAATGTGCATGAAATGGCAATTCAACAAAATACCAATGTGCATGAAATGGCAATTCAACATAATACCAATGTGCATGAAATGGCAATTCAACAAAATACCAATGTGCATGAAATGGCAATTCAACATGATACCAATGTGCATGAAATGGCAATTCAACATATTACATTATTACCAATGTGCATGAAATGGCAATTCAGCATATTACCAATGTGCATGAAATGGCAATTACAAAATACCAATGTGCATGAAATGGCAATTCAACATATTACCAATGTGCATGAAATGGCAATTCAACATACTACAATGTGCATGAAATGGCAAGTCAATATAATACCAATGTACATGAAGTGGCAATTCAACATATTACCAATGTGCATGAAATGGCAATTCAGCATATTACCAATGTGCATGAAATGGCAATTCAACAAAATACTAATGTGCATGAAATGGCAATTCAACATATTACCAATCTGCATGAAATGGCAATTCAACATACTACAATGTGCATGAAATGGCAAGTCAATATAATACCAATGTACATGAAGTGGCAATTCAACATATTACCAATGTGCATGAAATGGCAATTCAACATATTACCAATGTGCATGAAATGGCAATTTAACATAATACCAATGTGCATGAAATGGCAATTCAACATATTACCAATGTGCATGAAATGGCAATTTAACATAATACCAATGTGCATGAAATGACAATTCAACATATTACCAATGTGCATGAAATGGCAATTTAACATAATACCAATGTACATGAAATGGCAATTCAACATATTACCAATGTGCATGAAATGGCAATTCAACAAAATACCAATGTGCATGAAATGGCAATTCAACATATTACCAATGTGCATGAAATGGCAATTCAACAAAATAACAATGTCTATGAAATGGCAATTCAACAAAATACCAATGTGCATGAAATGGCAATTCAACATATTGCCACTGTGCATGAAATGGCAATTCAACATATTACCAATGTGCATGAAATGGCAATTCAACATATTACCAATGTGCATGAAATGGCAATTCAACAAAATACCTATGTGCATGAAATGACAATTCAACAAAATAACAATGTCTATGAAATGGCAATTCAACAAAATACAAATGTGCATGAAATGGCAATTCTACATATTACCAATGTGCATGAAATGGCAATTCTACATATTACCAATGTGCATGAAATGGCAATTCAACATATTACCAATGTGCATGAAATGGCAATTCAACATATTACCAATGTGCATGAAATGGCATTTCAACATATTACCAATGTGCATGAAATGGCAATTCAACATATTACCAATGTGCATGAAATGGCAATTCAACAAAATACCAATGTGCATGAAATGGCAATTCAACATATTGCCAATGTGCATGAAATGGCAATTCAACAAAATACCAATGTGCATGAAATGGCAATTCAACAAAATACCAATGTGCATGAAATGGCAATTCAACATATTACCAATGTGCATGAAATGGCAATTCAACATATTACCAATGTGCATGAAATGGCAATTCAACATATTGCCAATGTGCATGAAATGGCAATTCAACAAAATACCAATGTGCATGAAATGGCAATTCAACAAAATACCAATGTGCATGAAATGGCAATTCAACATATTACCAATGTGCATGAAATGGCAATTCAACATATTACCAATGTGCATGAAATGGCAATTCAACATATTACCAATGTGCATGAAATGGCAATTCAACAAAATACCAATGTGCATGAAATGACAATTCAACATATTACCAATGTGCATGAAATGGCAATTTAACATAATACCAATGTACATGAAATGGCAATTCAACAAAATACCAATGTGCATGAAATGGCAATTCAACATAATAGCAATGTGCATGAAATGGCAATTCAACATAATATCAATGTGCGTGAAATAGCAATTCAACATAATAGCAATGTGCATGAAATGGCAATTCAACATATTGCCAATGTGCATGAAATGGCAAATGAACAAAATACCAATGTGCATGAAATGGCAATCCAACATATTGCCAATGTGCATGAAATGGCAATTCAACATATTACCAACGTGCATGAAATGGCAATTCAACATAATACTAATGTGCATGAAATGGCAATTCAATATATTACCAATGTGCATGAAATGACAAGTCAACAAAATATCAATGTCCATGAAATGGCAATTCAACATAATACCAATGTGCATGAAATGGAAAGTCAACAAAATACCAATGTGCATGAAATGGCACTTCAACAAAATAACAAAGTCTATGAAATGGCAATTCAACAAAATACAAATGTGCATGAAATGGCAATTCTACATATTACCAATGTGCATGAAATGGCAATTCAACATATTACCAATGTGCATGAAATGGCAATTCAACATAATACCAATGTGCAAGAAATGGCAATTCAACAAAATAACAATTAGTATAGTAGGAACAAGGGGTTCCCATGCACCCATAAGGTGTGAATAAGTTACATACATTTTTGTAATCCCTAGGGTGTCTATTTAATGAATTCCTTTGTTAACATTGCCAACTAATGTCCCATAGTACTTTTATGGCGGCATTCAGTTACTATGGTTACGCATCTTTAGACATCTTACTTTGTATCTTAAATCATTTGTAGCTCTGTCATTATTTGGTCTATAGAAATGATATTGGTACCAAATTAAACCTCGTTAAATTTCCAATAAATTTCTGATATTCAATTATGCAAATTATCTAATTTGCATAAATTATGACGTCATCAATCTATTTTTGGTTCAGAATTTCCAACTATAGCAATGTATCTATTAGAACTGAGGCCGTATGTCAAAATTTCTGAAAGGTTTTGTCCTTTATTCTATTAGTAGAAGGTATAAGCAACATAAAAGTGAAAACAGATTCAAAATTGAATCAGTATTACGAAGGTTATGTAACTTTCGAGGCAGCTATCGTGAATATCATTATTTGACAATAATATACACACGCCTTACCTAGGAGTCTTGAATCAATGTAGCTTCGCCATTATTTGGTCTATAGAGATGATATTGGTATCTGATTAAACCTTATTAAATTTACTATATGGTTACAATATTAGGTTATGCAAATTAGCTAATTTGCATTAATTGTGATGTCATCAATCCATTTTTGTTCAGAATATCGTAGTATAGCAACATATCTATTAGAACTGAGGCCGTACGACAGAATGTGTGCATAGTTTTGTCCCTTATTTGTTGAGTGGAAGATATAAGCAACATTAAAGAGACAACGAATCTTCAAAATTGGATCAGAATTAACAAAATTATCCAGCTTTGGAGGCAGCTACTGTGAACGTCATTGTTTGACAATTATGAAAAGAACATTAAATTAACAAAAAAAGTAAAAACCATAGTTGTTTCAATCTTATTGAGTAAAAATGTGCATGTATTGAACTGAACTAATAAGTATGTGGAAAGGTTACATGCATTTTGATTATCATTCACAGGGGTCAAAACGGTTATCTCGACCCTGTATATTAAAGATCCAATCTTATAATTTACCATGCACTTTCAATGATTCATATAAATATATAGTATACATATAGTCTGATTTTCATCATATTCTTCATATTCTTGATTCTTAAAGCATCTGAAGTATATAGCATGATTAGAAGTGAAGATGATTCATCATATGGTTTATGTAATATTTCTAACATTTCAGATGCTATGGTAACATCACTTGATAATGAGGTTTTTACATTTCACGTTCTTAATGAGTTAAAAGGAAGTAATTCTCCCTTTGCTTTAGAGATAAATAGTCGCATGAATTTGTGTAGAAAAATTATAACTTAAAGGGTGACGCATATCGTTTAGCAAATCGAACGCTCGTTTCTGGTGTTGCTCACCGTTTAGTATAAAAGGCCCGATCCCGGAATAATACTCAAGGGTTCACAGGTTCGAGGTCGTTGTGTCAACACCTCTAACTGTTATATAGCATAAGTATATTATAGATTGTCACACATTTATAAAAGGGTGATTTTTATTTTGACAAATCAATTCCACATTTATGGGTGAAGTTTCAGGATCTTCTATTTGTGTATAATAAGGAAAAATTGGCATCTAAATTTCCCCATAACGTAATAGCACACAGCTTGGCATATGAAATATCCTACAAATGAAACAAATCAAGACAAACCGGTTTCTAATACAAGAATTTATATTGGCTGTTGTACATGTATTATTTGAACGCAATCACTCTGGATAACGTTTTCAAAATCATTATAAACGGATTACTTTATCTCAAAGACAATTTCAATAAACTGGATTTTACAGAACTCCCCTTATTTCTTAAAAATGGACTGATCCAGTTGATTCGCCTGGAGCCGCCATATTGTTTTCATACGGGATGCTAATCGTCACCCTTTAATTAATTTAACCCCCCCTGACAGCCCCCATATTTGAAGATTTTGGTGAAACCTGGCAAAATACATTAATTATTAGGTTCCAGAAGCCCCCAGAAGCTATATGATGGCCCCCAGTGGCCCCAAGAATCTATACAAGGGCCCCAAGTGACCCAAAGAAGCTATACTGTGCTCCCCAGAAGCTATATGTTGGCCCCCAGAAGCTGAATAGTGGCCCCCAGGAGCTATACGGTGGCTCCCAGAAGCTATACAGGAAACCCTGTGGCCTCCAGTAGCTATACGGTGGCGCCCAGAAGCTATACAGGGGCCCCCGGTGGCCCCAAAAAGCTATATGGTGGCCCCCAGAAGCTACACGGGGGCCCCCAGAAGCTATACTATGGCCCCCAGAAGCTATACAAGGGCCCCCAGAAACTATACTATGGTCTCCAGAAGCTATATGGTGGCCCCCAGTGGCCCTCGGAAGCTATATGATGGCCTCCAGAAGCTAATTAGTGGCCCCCAGGAGCTATATGGTGGCTCCCAGAAGCTATACAGGGGACCCCAGTGGCCCCAATAAGCTAAACGATGGCCCCAAGAAGCTATACAGGAGCCCCAAAAAGCTACATGATGGCCCAAGAATCTATATGATGGCCCCGAATGGCTCCCAGAAGATGTGAAGGGCCCCAAGTAGCCCCTAGAAGCTATACAGTGGCCCCCAGTGGCCCTCATAGGCTATATGATGGCCCCCAGAAGCTAAATAGTGACCCTCCGGAGCTACATGGTGGTTCCCAGAAACTACACAATGGCCCCCAGAATCTATAAAGGGCCCCCCCCCCCCCCCAGTAGCCCCTAGAAGGTATACGGTGGCCCTCAGTGGCCCCGAAAGCTATATAGTGGCCCCAAGAAGGCTTCTGGGGGCCACTGGCAGAAGCTATACAGGGGCCCACAGTGGCTCCCTGAAGCTATACAGGGGCCCAAAGTGGCTCCCAGAAGCTATACGATGGCCCCCAGAAGCTATGCAAGGGCCTGCAGAAACTGTACTGTAGCCCCCAGAAGCTATACAGGGGCCCCCAGTGGCCCCCAGAAGCTATAAGATGGCCCCCAGAAGCTATGCAAGGGCCCGCAGAAACTATACGGTAGCCCCCATAAGCTATATGGTAGCCCCCATAAGCTATACGATGGCCTCCAGAAGCTATACAGTGTCCCCGAATGGGCCACCATATAGCTTTGGGGGCCACCTTATAGCTTCTAGGGGCTACTGGGGGCCCTGTATAGCTTCTGGGAGCCATTGGGGGCCATCATATAGATTCTGGGGGCCATCGTGTAGCTTCTGGGGGCTGCTGTATAGCTTCTGGGGGCCATCGTATAGCTTCTTGGGGCCACTGGGGTTCCCTGTATAGCTTCTGGGTGCCACCATATAGCTCCTGGGGGCCACTAATTAGCTTCTGGGGGCCATAATAGCTCCTGAGGGCCACTGGGGGCCACCATATAGCTTCTGGAGACCACAGTTAGTTTCTGTGGGCCCTTGTATAGCTTCTGGGGGCCATCGTATACCTTCTGGGGGCCACTTGGGGCCCCTGTATAGACTCTTGGGGCCACTGGGGGCCGTCATATAGCTTCTGGGGGCTTCTGGAACCTAATAATTAATGTATTTTGCCAGGTTTCACCAAAATCTTCAAATATGGGGGCTGTCAGGAGGGGGTTAAATTAAGTTATAATTTTTTTAAACAAATTCATGTGACTATTTATCTCTAAAGCAAAGGGAGAATAACTTTCTTTTAACTCATTAAGAACGTGAAATGTAAAAACCTCATTATCAAGTGATGTTACCATAGCATCTGAAATGTTAGAAATATTACATAAACCATATGATGAATCATCTTCACTTCTAATCATGCTTTATACTTCAGATACTTTAAGAATCAAGAATATGAAGAATATGATGCATGGTAAATTATAAAATTGGATCTTCAATATACAGGGTCGAGATAACTGTTTTGACCCCTGTGAATGATAGTCAAAATACATGTAACCTTTCCACATACTGTACGCCCGGTATTATTCGCGTGCGATTAACTTTCGCGCTTTTCGCGAGGGTGTTAAAATCGCGAAAAATTATCGTCGCGAAATTGCCAATTAAATCCCCGGGAATTTGTTTTTACCCAGGGCTCTGATGCATTTCTTTTTGTCTACTAGTTTGGATCGAGTTATAGTAATTCGCGAAATTAAAGCTCGCGAATAATACCGGGCGTACAGTACTTATTAGTTCAGTTCAATACATGCACATTTTTACTCAATAAGATTGAAACAACTATGGTTTTTACTTTTTTTTGTTAATTTAATATTCTTTTTATAATTGTCAAACAATGACGTTCACAGTAGCTGCCTCCAAAGCTGGATAATTTTGTTAATTCTGATCCAATTTTGAAGATTTGTTGTCTCTTTAATGTTGCTTATATCTTCCACTCATCAAATAAGGGACAAAACTATGCACACATTCTGTCATATGGCCTCAGTTCTAATAGATACAATGCATGTTGCTATACTAGGATATTCTGAACCAAAAATGGATTGATGACGTCACAATTAATGCAAATTAGCTAATTTGCATAACTGAATATTGTAACCATGTAGTAAATTTAATAAGGTTTAATCAGATACCAATATCATCTCTATAGACCAAATAATGGCGAAGCTACATTGATTCAAGACTCCAAGGTAAGATGTATGTATATTATTGTCAAATAATGACATTCACGATAGCTGCCTCGAAAGTTACATAACTTTCGTAATACTGATTCAATTTTGAATCTGTTTTCACTTTTATGTTGCTTATACCTTCTACTAATAGAATAAAGGACAAAACCTTTCAGAAATTTTGCCATACGGCCTCAGTTCTAATAGATACGTTGCTATAGTTGGAAATTCTGAACCAAAAATAGATTGATGACGTCATAATTTATGCAAATTAGATAATTTGCATAATTGAATATCAGAAATTTATTGAAAATTTAACGAGGTTCAATTTGGTACCAATATCATTTCTATAGACCAAATAATGACAGAGCTACAAATGATTTAAGATACCAAGGTAAGATGTCTAAAGATGCGTAACCATGGTAACTAAATGCCGCCATAAAAGTACTATGGGACATTAGTTGGCAATGTTAACAAATGAATTCATTAAATAGACACCCTAGGGATTACAAAAATGTATGTAACTTATTCACACCTTATGGGTGCATGGGAACCCCTTGTTCCTACTATACTAAATGTCTATGAAATGGCAATTCAACAAAATACCAATGTGCATGAAATGGCAATTCAACATGATACCAATGTGCATGAAATGGCAATTCAACAAAATAACAATGTGCATGAAATGGAAAGTCAACATAATACCAATGTGCATGAAATGGCAATTCAACAAAATAACAATGTGCATGAAATGGCAATTCAACATTATACCAATGTGCATGAAATGGCACTTCAACAAAATAACAATGTCTATGAAATGGCAATTCAACATATTACCAATGTGCATGAAATGGCAATTCAACAAAATACCAATGTGCATGAAATGGCAATTCAACATAATACCAATGTGCATGAAATGGCAATTCAACATAATACCAACGTGCATGAAATGGCAATTCAACATATTACCAATGTGCATGAAATGGCAATTGAACATATTACCAATGTGCATGAAATGGCAATTCAACATAATACCAATGTGCATGAAATGGCAATTCAACATAATACCAACGTGCATGAAATGGCAATTCAACATATTATTAATGTGCATGAAATGGCAATTGAACATAATACCGATATGCATATAATTGTAATTCAACAAAATCCATCCAATATATCCATGAAATGACAATTCAAAAAATACCAATGTCCATAAATTGGCAATTCAACATAATACCAATGTACATGAAATTAAAATGCAGTTCAACAAAATACCAATGTCCATGAAGTAGCAATTCAACACAAGGCATTAACACGACAAAACGTCAACACCTAGTTGCTCACAATATTATAAGTTCAATCCTAAGTCAGATTTGAATTTTTGAAAACCTGTAGATGATTTTGAAAAAAAATTGGTCAATTTTGAAGTAAGTTGAAAGAAGACCTTTTTGACCTTGAGAAGGTCATTGAAGGTCAAATATTTTTTCGATCTTGAGAATGTCATTGAAGGTCAAATCTTTAGTCAGATTTGAACTTTTGAGAACGTCGCGATAATTTTGAAAAAATTGGTCAATTTGAAGCAAGTTTGACCTTTTTTAAGTCTTAAGTCAGATTTGAACTTCTGATAACTTGTAGATGATTTTTTTAAAAAGGTCAATTTGAAGCAAGTTGAAAAAATACCTTTTTGACCTTTTTTGACCTTGAAAACATCGTAACCATGAAGGTTCATCCATTTTGTTACATTGATGTTCTTTCAAAGTAACTAGTTGTGGAACAGTGATTTAGCAGTGGTTGATTTCACCACAAACAGCATCTTTACACTATAATTAATTTTGTTTTTAACATTTGTCTTATATCTTAAGTTTTTTGTAATACACTATTATCTATAAAACTGTGCTGAATGAATAAACAAAGTCTTACACATTCCTGTATCTTATACTTTTTCACATCACTAGTATCATCGCCAGTGTAAACAACAAGAACCTGAAATACAAAATGAGAATTAGTGTCCCCAAAATTCTCTATTTCTGTAATATAAGTGCAAATGTGGAATTCAAAATAGATTTCACATTCCCCTTGGAAATCCTCACAACACCATTTTCTGGAAACTGTGCAAAAAATCAAATTTTTCAGAAATTTTTAAACCGAAATTTGGCGGGTTTTCTTTGGCAACGCAGAATCACAGAATTCTAATCTAGAATGTGTGCGCATAGTATACATACCCATTGTGTCTCGGTGCCTTTTCTGACTAGATAGACTCCCTTTATTCCTATATTCTTAATAAGCTGATTTGCCTCCTCTCTGCTTGCACCGTACCAATACACAGCTGACCAGTAACTCTCACTCTCCCCCTGGAAACAATTCTTGAAGGATAACTTACATGTTATTACTTACAAGTTCAAAATATTATGTAAATGGAGATTTTTGAATATTGATGCACTGTGAATAATTCATAAACTCATGTTCTTCAATGTCTTCTTACATGTTCAAAAGATTATGTACATGTTTGAATGATTCATACTTGAAAAATGACATGCCCGAATGATGTGCTGTACATAAAGAAATGCACATACATTTTCTATGATATACTGTAAGCAGGCCTGTAGCCAGCATTTGTCAATGGGGGGTTAACCCCCCCCCCTGGCTACAGGCCTGGTAAGAAATAAGTTACCATAAAATGTGAAGGGAAAATAAGGTAAGTGGATTTGATGGATACAAGAATGTAAATGGACATAATTCAACTAACTTAAAGGACTGGGAATTATAACATCTTTTAAATGGATGATACTATTTGTTAGTCGGTAGGTCAGTTTCCCCTGGGGGGGGGGGGGTTCTGGTTCACTGTATACAAATTTTGGTCCTAGGCTGAGCCCTCAGATATCAATATGTTCCCATACCAATCTGTCAAATTTCAATGTGTTCCCATACATGTACCAACCAAAATAATGCCCAAAAGCCATAATAAATGTCCAAATATAGGACCAATGTCCAGATGTAAGACCAATGCCATACCAAATGTCTAAAAATATAGAACCAATGCCATACCAAATGTCCAAAGTAGAAAAAAGCTAATATTCCATTTCAAACTGAAGAAGGCCCTGAGAAGAAGTCAGATCTATGTGGAAAATGATCCAAAACAACCTCAAATTAAGGATATGTGTAACTACTAGACCAAGACCATACCGCAAGCATGAGGTAACATATTTTCGACAACAATTCTTATTCCTGAAAGTGGAAAAATCTGACCATTGCCATACCTCAAAAGTCATAATTTGGGGGGCATTCTCATACCAGATCCTAAAATTTTGGTCCATTGCCATCATGGGCTTGAAAGCCCATGGCCATACCAAATGTCAAAAAAGGTACCCCATGTGCGCCCAGGATCCCCATCAAGGTTTTTATACAGTGAACACCCCAGGTCAGTGTCTCTGTATATGTGTACTCATTAGGAAAGTGATCAGTGATTAGAATTAATTTATTTTACTTTACAGGCTTTATGTTAGTCTATACCTCATTATCGTTATTACTTTCTTCAGGTTTTGGCTCTTCCATGATTAATTCTTCCTCTCCTTCAACTTCTTCTCGCAAACCTAAATATTCCTACAACCAAGCAGTCAAATATGCACTATAGGATTGAAGCAAATTTATGTCAAAATGTCACTCAGGTCATCCATAATCTACCCTATTTCTCTTTAAGGTCTTATTTTCTAACATTTCTGTATAATTTAAAATATATTGCCTTCATTACTGTATAATTTATTTCTTACTGATTCCACTACTTTCCACACACAATATTTGACCAAAGTAACATTTCTAAATTACAAAGCATCCTACTTCTACTAGCAAATGAGTAATACTACTTTAAGAAGGAATGATCCCCCAAGAATGAAGCAAGTTGAAATATACAACAAACAGGAAACTGTTTACACTCACATAATAAATGACAAATATTAAAAGAATTGGCATAATTTGACAAGCACGTAGTTTTGCATAAACTTTGCCAATAGACTATTTGTCAATTGACAGAAAAATAGATGGCAGCACATGTGTTGTTTGAAAATGGTATGGGCCAAAATACATTTAGACACATGGCAAGAATCACTTAATTTCTTGATTTATCAAGTACATGTATTTCAAAAGGTAACTAGCCAAGGCATAGTAAATCCCATCGAATGGCCATGGCTACTATATTTGGAAATGGCTGCCAAATTAGTGCCAATTAGCCAAATTGTCATTGGACAGTTTATATTCTTCTTAGTTTTCACATAAAAAGGGCTAGGATTTTTCAAAATGGCCATTTACAAGCCAAAGTGTACTTGGGAAGTGTAACATGCTTCTAAGTATTCACATATAAAATTTTAGCAAACCCTCTAATTTACCCTAAACCACTGGTTTTGTATAAAGTGCTCATAAGTTTCTATGAGTACTTATACTGGTGCTACTGTTGTTACTTTTGACTTACTGGAGCATCAGTGTTGACTGAGCATTGTGACTGCAAACTGTAGAAAGACCTGGTAGACAGTGTATGGTGCTATAATTAGTAATGAGGAAGCAAGGTTATACACAAGGCCCATATTACACATCGATTTGGTTTTCCTTGAGAATGAAAATTCTTATTTCCTGCAATTTCAAGTGTTGACTACTCTCCATGTCTCTTAACTTGAATCCTTGCCAGTGGCATAGCCAGGATTTGTCAAGGGGGTTCTTATATTTTCTACAGATATTTTTTCAAAGTCAAATGAGACTCCTATGAATTTGGTTATTAATTTGCCAAATCTGCTTTTGCTTAAACTTTGCCAAAGCTAAAGTTTGACTTTACTAAAACTTTTCCCAAATTTGATTAATTTAGGTCCAATCTGATTAATTTTTGCTGGTTTACTAAAAGGTCCATGTACAGTATGGCAAGTGATTTTAGACGGTCATATCTTTCACCATGAGTACTTTCTCGCCATAAATACAGTTTTTTTTTATAAAAAAAATGTTTTCTTTCAAGTGAAGTTCCTGTGATAGTAAAATATCAATCCAACTCTCTGAAAAATTATGGTTTAGGACCCCATCTGGGCACTTTTTAAAAAATGTTAGGCTTATTTTCTAAAAAGAGGATCTTGTTTTTCTCGATTTAACCATATCGAGAGTTTATTCTACACTATATTAACAATTTCTGAAAAGGGGATTGGTATTGAAATGCGTTAAAGTTAAAAACCACATATCCCATGTTATTTTCCCATAGGGAAAACTCTTGCTATCCATTGTTTTCAGCATCATTTTTGTCATCGAAAATTGATATCTTCAAAACTAGACTTTCAATACCATTCTACCACTTTTTGAATAATCTTTTCATGCAATAAAAATCAGAAAAAGGAGATCCTCTTTTGAGTAAATAGATTCAACATTTTGAAAAAATTGTTGACATTGGGTCCCTATTAAAAATTTTCGAAATGTCCGATTGATATTTTTATCATCATGGGTACTTCACTTGAAACAAAACATATTGTTAGTACCTCAGTTGAAATACTCGATTTTGATTGGTCAACGAGCGGTGTATAATTTTAACTGTACACCGCGCAATGCATTGCCGGTGAATAATATTCCCAGCATTCCACTAAAATGACGTCATTATCAGACGATGGCCGCCGCTAGCACTAGCCGTTTCAAAAATGTTGAAGATGAGGATATTATTAGGGGTGGGACGGATAACCGAAATACCGAAAAACCGCGGTTCATAGCCTTCGGATCGGTTTTCGGATCACGGCCCTACTTTCGGATCAGCTTTTCGGATCGTTTTCGGATTAATATTTCATTGGTGAAGTATCAATAAAATAGTTAAAAACACTGTTTTACAGCAACATTTTTTGATATTCCTAGTCCCTACCTTGTCTGTCTTGTCTGTTGCTAGCTCACTCGTTTACTAGATTCGTTTCGTATCCGCGTATTCGTATCCCTCGGTAATCAATCATGTGGTCCCTGGTACTATATTCTTTAGTCGTGTATTCTAAATAATATGTATTGTTCAGGAAATACTATAACATAAAATTCCATCTATAAAATATTGTTATAACGTGGCATAATTGAGAGACAAAGCAGCTAATCATGTCAATCAATACAAATCCTTAAAATGAATGAACCGAACCGAAAAAAACCGAACCGACGGCTGATGATCCGAAAAACCGAACCGAACCGAACCGAAACGAACCGTCCCATCCCTAGATATTATTAGTCTCTTAAGAGTAAAGACAGTCAAAATACGAAGAAAAATCTAAAACTTTGTACAAAGCTTTTAGTGGACTTCGCCCAGGAGAGTAATTTGTGTTTGAAATACAACATGAACGTCTCGAGGGTCTGGATCCAACTTCAAGTCAACTTCAAGGGTCAGAAAAATCTAAGATATTCTTCGGACTAACAAAACAATTATAGACCTCTCCATTCGGTTTACTGTCAAAATTATATCCCTCGACTGTAAACCTCGACCTACTGTCTCAGGCCCGTAAGACACTTTTCTCCAAGGGGGGTGCGGTTTTTAGCTTACTAAAGAGAATATAAAATTGTCAAAGGGGGGGGGGGGCTCAGTTACTCCCTATATTGGTTTGGAATTAACAAATGCAACTTCCAAACATTCCAATTGTTTTGTGGGGGGTGTGAGTGAGGAGTGTTCCACTCCCCCTAGAACATTTTACAGTTTTGAGATGCTATATGGTGCTTTCTGGGCACTTCCAAAGTGTAAGTTTCACAGTAGTACGCCACCACCACGGGAATAAGAGTTGAGTGAATAAAAAAACCAGCATTCAGGGGGGTCTGGGGGTTCTCCCCCAGGAAAATTTTGAAATTTGGTTGTATTTGGAGCGAATTTGCAACCATCTGGTACGCCTGTGCGTTATGAGTCAATAAGAAAAATGTGAATTTTTTTCAAATTCTTTTGGGGGTGTCAAAGAGGATGAGAGGGTGAAGTGGGGTGGGGTGCAAGGAGGGGAGCAAGGGGTTGTCCCCCAGAAACATTGATCATATCAAGGTGCTATTTGATGATGTCTGGGCACTTAAAAAAGGTCTGAGACAATACATGAAATTCAGAATATTTTCTTTTGTTTTGTGGGGGATGTGAGGGTTGGCTAACTCTCCTAGAAAATTTTACAATTTAAAGATGATATTTGGTGCTTCTGGGGACTTTTAAAGTGTATTAGTCAATAAAAACATTGAAAAACAATCACAATTTTTTTCAAATTTTGGGGGTGTCAAAGGGAAGGGTGCCAGAGGGGGAGGTGGGGCTGGCGTGCCAGAGGGGGAGCAAGTGTTTGTCCCCAATATCAAAATTTAGAATATCAAGGTGCTATTCGACAAAGTTTGGGCACTTTAAAAGTGTCTGTGTCTAAAAGTGCCTATTTCCCAAGAAAATTTTACAATTTTAAGATGCTATTTGGTGCTTTCTGGGCACTTTCAAAGGGTATGAGTCAATAAAAAAATTTGAAAAATCTCATTCTTTTTTTTGGGGGGGGGGTTGGGTGGGGCTGTTAAGGGGGGAGGTGGAGGTGCCAGAGGGGGAGGTGGAGTGGGGATGCCAGAGGGCGAGTAAGTGTTAGTCTTCCAGTATCATTAACTTTATCAAGGAGCTATTTGATGATGTCTGGGCAATTTAAAAGTGTCTGACACAATACATAAAACAAATTCAGAACTTTTCCATTGTTTTGTTTGGGGTGTGAGGGGTGGCCCACTCCCCCTAGAAAATTTTACAATTTTACGACGCTATTTGGTGCTTTTTGGGTACTTTCAAAGTGTATGAGTCAATGAAAAAAAAATTACAAAAAAAATTTAATTTTTTTTTTCAAATTTATTTTTGGGGGTGACAAAGGGGGGTGCGGTCGCACCCATCGCACCCCCCCATCTGACGGCCCTGGGTCTCGGTTTACAGTCTCGGGATATAATTTTGACAGTAAACCTCTGGAGAGGTCAATAATTGTATATTGTTTTAATAAAAACCACTATATTTATACCCAGTGGCATAGCCAGTCTCACATATTCTATATCTAAGAGGAAAATGGACAAAGAAATACAAGTATATTGATTTTTCTAAATTAGACAACGTAAATACCCCTATTATTTGGGGTGGGGGGTTCGCACAAGCCCTCAAAACACTCTATCCCTATGGCTCTGCCTTGCAGGCTAAAATAACTTGACCTAGGTACCAGGAGTCAACACAACTAAATTGCAAAGAAATACAAGAATATCAAGCATTTCATTCAAATGTTAGAGAGAATATGTAACATGAGAACACGTTTTACAGGGTAAGCAGTCAGAGAAAATATTCCCTAGGGATTACCCCTTGTTTAACAATTAGTTTATTATAAATAAAGGATAGGTATCGATATGGTGAACTGAATTCAACAATGTTTTTCTCTTCAACCAATTATTGAAAACATTCTGTAAAGAAATACTGTCCTTTATGTAATGTTGACTGATTGGCTACAATTTCATGCAAAAATTATTTATATAATATAATAATTCTATATAACTGTTTTTTGCTTTTTAGTTCAATTGTTTTTTGTTCCTTTCTACCAATTCTTGAGAATGAAATAATATGTCTTTCCGAACCTTGTTGGATCAAAATAGCATATACAACATTTTCATAGACCTTTCAATATTATAGTTTTACAAAGGATTTTTTGGTTGATTTAATAAAAATTATGCAAAAACTTAAAACAAAACCCCTCAAAATATATAAAAATTAAGATAAACCTTTTAATTCATTAACAAGATACTTTTTTAAAATCAACCAAACTTTCCTTTGTACAATTACAATATTGAGAGACCTAAACATGTTGTGTTTATGTCGTTTTGTTCCAATGAGGTTCGGATAGATGTTTCATTTCATTCCAAATATATGATACCAAGAACGAAAAAAGTGTCTGATGTGTTTTCTAAAACAATATAGAGAAAAGAATATATATATAATTCAAATTATAATGTTACCATCCAAAAGATGACCATTAAATTGACGATGTGCAATTTTTCAGAATGTTTTGATGACTGGTCTAAGAGAAAGGTGTGTTCAAAAAGTTCACCACATCGATACCACTCCTTTGTAGAATGCATGTGTTAGAAAGGAATTCATGCAAAAGAAATATATGGGTTGAAGCAAGTACAAATTTTCAATAATAGCGCAATCAGACTCAAACATATCCCTTATTTGAAGTGGGGACATGAAAATGCTAATTTTGCATATTCAAATATAAAAATTATTGAAAACTTCACACAAATTTTGATTTGAGATTAATTTCTTACATCAATATAGCCTTGAAAACATGACATGGTTAATAGGACATGGAAATTAATTGCTCTTTTCAGTGTACAAAAGCATGCAATATACCTGTAAGTAAGCGATATGAATAGCAGAATGTAAATAAAGATGTTATGCATGCACAAAGATGTTTTTATAACTCTATGTTTGTATAAACAAAGTATTATTACCGCTTCTTTTGGTTTTTCGGTGTCTGTAGAGTGTTTTCTTCCCTTTTTAATATCTGATGGTTTAAGATGGCCTCCCGCCATAGGCTCAAATTCCAAAGTTCTTGCTCCAATTGGTGGTTTTAAAGGTGGCTTTGGTTTAAGAGCTGGTTTCTTCTCAACAGGTTTGTGCTGTCTACTTTCATCTTCACCATCAGGTTGGTCTCTAAGAAAGTTAAATAATGTATTGTAGATTTAGAAATGAAGATTTTCAACATCATTTTCAACTTCATTTCTAGTTATTTTGTCTTCCTGTTGTCAACATTTCTGTACAGGGGATTATCTAAATGTTTTCAAAATGGGATTCAAATATGAGAAACAGTCTTTTACATTAAATACATGTATGTCAGTACTACATTAGATATGTTACGTTCATTTATATTCAATTCTTTCATGTTTCATGGTTTTTGGCCCCACGGTTCTTCTAGGACCGTCTGATCACCAAGAACCGAGTCCAGAACGGTTCTATCACTCCCAGGGAAATACTTTATTTTTGTGCAGTGTAACATGAATCCCAATTTTTTCGCAAATAATTACAGCTCAATATTTCATCTAAATAGCGAATGGAAGTACCATTAAAATGACAATTGAACAACTTTAAACAATCCATAGGGTAATAAAATCGTCTCCTTGGATATTCCACGTCTCGGGGGAACATAATTATATTTGTGAGCGTGAATGAATTTCGAAGTCTTAGGCAAAGAGCTAGTAAAACCATAATAGAACCTTTCCCTGCGATGCCTGAGTTGGATGTTTGGAAGTATTCGGTTTCTCCGAAGAGAATACACACCCTATGCCGGTTGTGCAACACAACATTGAAATACGCTGCAGGTTTCCAATTTTTGTGATTGAAACTTTTTGTAGCCTCAATAATAAAATTTTTCAATTTCAAAAATTAGACTGCGATCTTTATTAGACTTCAATTCATCCCCTATCTTGTAACTGCTTTCTATTATCCACTCATAGTAACATTTTTATGACTGATATATACACTTTTTCAGGGCTTAAGTCAGGTTGAGAATTTGGGTAAACAGCCCCCACCCCACCTAGCCCACTGCAATGTTATTCCCAACTGAAGGACATCTGTACTATCCATATAATTTCAATTTTCAGGAAACACATATACCATGAGGAAACATATTGAAAGGTCTTACCCAACCAGACCCAGTTTAAAAAGGAATCCCTCCCATCTAATACGGGGCAAGCTGCTTTGAGAGCCAGCTACAAATAGTTCAATTCTAGTTATTCCATAAATATTCAATGATTATCAGCTAACACAATTCCATATTGATCATTTATAAGATTCAAAATAAAATTATATCACCTAATAAATACAAAATAAAAGTGAAACACCTTTTTATGTTGCCGTATTTGTGGCATCAATTGCAATTTATGAGGCCCACCTTATTAAGTATATGACTGAAGAACCGACCGAACCGAGAACTGAGAATCGTACTGAACCGAACCGTGACCGACCCTTCTCTAGAAATTGTCCAACATACTAACATAAAAAATAGTATTGGGATCTCGTTTCTTGTTCACTCTACTATACCTTGCAATTGCATTTGGTGTTCATGAGCAACCCATTTGGCTTATTAGTAATAATTATGTTATTTGTTTTTACTTGTCTGTTCCTTATTAAAGGGAATGCGAAGTTTTGTCCCTTAAACTTGATAATAGGTTAGAATAAAGATATATCTTTCAATCCAACTTAGTTTTATTGTTCTATCATTATCCTTTTAATTGTTATTGAGCCCCGGGTTTTGCATATGAGCTGGACCACGGTGCTGCCATTTCAACTGTATTGTGGCGCCATTTTTGAATCAAAAAATGAATGCCGAGTTGCCATTCCAAAACCAAAGAAATGATTTCAAAGGAACTAAAATAATACGTATATACCACCCATAATAAAGAACGATTTCAATAGAATATTAACGCCGACATTTTCGGAATTGCTTTTTACCTATCTAGACATGGAATGCAGGTTAGATTTATTCTTTATTTACACTTGAAACAATCTAGGATTCGTGACTTTTTAACTTTTATTAGGTCTAGCGCTCAATGCGAACAGAGAATGCTAATTCAATCAGGCGAATGCAAACTATTTGGATAAATATAATAAAATTAATTCAACCAACCCATCTTGAATTTCCAAGAATGCAATGGTTTAATTTGCTAGTCTCATTACAAAAATACATGTTCGTACTTTAATATTCATTGCATTTATGTTTATCTTTAAGACAGGTACTCAAAGAAATCAAAATTCTAAAATCAAATTTTAAAACCGTATTCAATTACTCTCATGGATTCTTAGCCCCACGTCACATTTTTACGGGGACCGTACGGTCTATCATTTCTGTGGTAAGTAGGATTTCTACGGTTGCCCAAGACCCCAGTCACATTTCCCACGGCCGCCGTGCAGTCTATTATTTCTGCGGCCAGTAGCTTTTCTACGCTCGCCGTAGAATTTCTGTGCTCTCATACTTTTGCAGTCACATTTCCCACGGCAGACGCACGGTGAATTTTAAGTTTCTGTTGAAATAATATTTTTTTCATTTTATTTACATCAGGACAATTTATAAATGTTATTCATAGTGCTAGGATGTAATACCAAATGAAAAGTGATCGTGAAACATTGACAAATAATGATTCAATCTTGTTGAGCCAGTTGATTTCTACGGGGACCTCAGAAATGAACAAATATTATAACTCCGAGTTATAATTTCTACAGCGACCCTGCGGCCTGTAAAAAACTGGATACGCCGTCCGGAGGCCGCAAGGGGAGCGTGGTTTTCCTATGCTCGCCGCAGAAATACACTGATTTAATTGATCTGCGGTCGACGCACGGCCTCCGTACGACAAATGTGACTGGGGTGTAAGTATTTCTGCAGTCAGATAATTTAGCAGTCACATTTGCTAAGATAGCCGTACGGCGTATCTTGATTATGAGGAAAAACTACGATTCCAGTACGGCTGATAAATGATGACAAACGATCAGCGTAGAGCGGCCCTACGACGTACGTAGTTTTTCTTGAAGGCATCCACAAGGGGTTCTATGGTTCGGAAAGGTCAATTGTAACCTATGAAATCCAAGCGCAGCCGCAAGTCGACCGTGAACCCGACGAACGGCCGTCGTCGTAAAATCTACGTTTTGGCTGCTGCTTGTTGATATCTATGGTGACCACAGGAAAGAAAAAGTTATAACTCCGACTCTACGCCTTGTAAAAACTGGATATGTCGTGTACGTAGACAGCAAGGTGACCTTAAGTCGTCTGTAGTTTTCCTATGTTTGCCGCAGAAATTTACTGATTTCAGGGAAATACGATCGACGTGTGGTCGCATCGAACAAATGTGACTGAAGCTTTTAAAGTTCCACTTATTTTCCGATATAGAAAAACAAAAGGTTGTATGCCATTAAATTGAAAATCATTATTTCGAAAATACTGTAGAACTGTACTTACCACGGATGTTATATAATTAAATTTGAGCTCGAAATCAGGAATTGTTTTTAACAAAAAATAAATATATAATAAAATAAATTTTAAATTATTGGCGTACTATCAATACGGCAATTGCCCTATCGTCGTTGAAATGAAATATCATACTACAATCGACCCCATCGTCTCCCCGCATCAATGAATGTTATGAACCTTCTTTTCTCATGATCCAAGGTGAAATACCATTGAATTTTGAAAAACGTTTTTGTCATATCAAATGTCGCTACGATGATATGATGATTGAAATTGGTCGTATAACAACTGAGAAAAATTAAACATTACGTTTTATTCTTTGAAAATATGACAGTGGCATGTCCTTGTAAAGCTAGTGCCAATCATAATATTTAGGAGTTTGACATTTACATACGCATCATTTAGACGACATCGATTTTTTGTTTTTTTTGTTTGCGTTTTTCATCAGAATTTAAATGGCTAGACACTTTAGGGAGTTACTGTTTCATTGGATTACTACTTTTTCTTTTATTTCTTTCATTCTACAATATGTACCTATTCATATTTGAATAGAATACTACAGATTGAGGAAATCTACCATTTATGATTAGGTAAGAAAGCAATTGCGGCAGTATGCCTACCAGAGCATAGATTTTGATATTTTAAATGGTATGTCGTGTATTTACATAAATATGGTAAATGCAACTATTTGTTGGATGCGTTCAGCCGATGATATAACTTACTTATTTTCACTACAAATACGCCAACACATTAGCCACATTAATCTTAGTTAAATAAATCCCCATTGATGCACAGTAATGCATTTATGTGTAAATGCCATTTTGTATATTTTAATGCATTTACCTCATTTATTGGTTAAATATACAAGAAAGCATTTACAGGATTTGAACAGATTTATCCTTTTTGACCCAGTGTTATCATTATATAAAATAATTCTAGTGGATATTTTCCAAGTGGAATATAATGCGATGACTTCCGAATCGCGCAGCCGATATCTCATAAGTTTAGTGATTTTTCTACCTAGCCTATACTATATCACGTTGGAGAAAATAAATACAAACATTTGAAAAAATACATTGCAACAATTCAATTTCTATGAAGAATATATTGAAACAACTTTTCCAAATATATGATATGGTATGGACATGAATATGCGGCAACAATGTTAAGCGGACAGAAATAGTTATAAAATATCAGTGAAATGTGTTCTATTTCTGCGATCCGAGTATAACGTGATTATATAGAGACATTTCCCAGGCATCAATTTTAAGGCATCAATGACGTCATCCAATGGCGGCATCCACAGCGATCCAGATATGGGTACTTTGAACTTGAATTATATGTTAGTTCAAATACGATATTTCCCATGAGTGAGTTGAAGTGATAGATGATGGTTATAAGTAGCCAGCGTATAAATTAGAACATGAAACTTCGCATTCCCTTTAATGGTTTATTGGTTGAAAGTTAGATGTTAATAAGATACTTTCAAAAATATACTGAACAATACAAATTAGACAAGCAGAGTATCTTATGCATTTCTAGGGGTTAGGTATAGTAGAGTGTTGTTAGAGCTTTGATGACTTACCTAAAACCTAGGGCTTTAATCTTATCTGTAATTTGAGACTGGGTTACCTTTGGGGACAATGGAGAAATCTGCAAAAACAGCATTAAAGTGAGTCTTCATAAGTATTGCTGCTCTTAGGGAGCAAGGGGATATTGTTTACTAGGACAAGTTGCATATGGTCTGTGCATGCCATTTCAAAATCAATATGAAAGTTTGTTAAGCTAACAAGCCTGATTAGTTTGATTCCACTATTTTATACAATTTTTTTTTTATCATCAGGCCCATGATATTCTGTACTTTGTTTACATCTGGACTTACCATCCTATTGGGTTTAGAGGGTGGCGTCTCAGTATGCTGTGGACTTCTTGGTAGACTATTGATCTCTCCAATACCTGGGGGCGGAGTTACGCCTACAAGTAATAAATAGAGGTAATTCACAGGAAGGGTTGGGTTCTATGGTGAGGGATGATTGATATGGTATTTGACAGATGGTACAAGGGAAGCAAGATTAAACATGTCTCCTATCTTAAGAGTTGTTATATCTCATTCTCACCAATCATAAAAACAGTCATTTTCAAATTATATCATTACATAAAAATGTAAAATGCCACCTAATTGTAATAAAAAAAGTGTTTCCTTTTAGTTTTAACTTAAACCATGTGAGTTGGCAAATGAAAAATAGAACTTCATTTAATGTTTATTTCCAATTGTATATATGAGATTGAGGTTTCTTGATTTCATGATATCTCAGTACCTGGTTTCGTTTTTTTTAAAAACTTGGGCATTGATATTGCACTAAATGGTTTGTGTTTGTCTCGAGGTTCTTTATGAAAAACATCATCCAGATCTTCATCCTTTATCTTTGTATAGTTTTCCTCATCAGAATCATCCTCTGAAAAATATAATCCTTACACAGTACATATCAGGCTATCAGAATAATTGTTTTATCATCACAGGCTGGTATCGAAATATCTGTCCGCTGTGACGGAGCATGCTATATTTCATAAAAGCACTAAGAATACTTCACGATTTATTTTTTAACTCATATGTTTCGTTATACCATACAAAAAGATAATGGCAACTCCGTGGAGTAGCAAATCCCAACGAACAAAATATCAATTACTGAATTCCAATCAATTATACTCATTACTTTGGTTAAAATTGAAAAATTCAGATTTTAGAATTGCGAATTCCTGCAAAGCAGCCGTTTTGAATTTTCTGAGGTACAAATCTGAAAAATAATAGCATAATTGTGATCTACTCCAAAATTCCTTCAATTTGAGTATAATATAGCCATACTTTGAAGGGATCGAAAAATGATTGCGAAATCGTACATTAGATGGCCATTTTGAATTTTACGAGGCTCGAATCAGAAAAAAGATACAATATTTGCAATCTACTCTTAATTGCCTTTCATTTGAGTATAATAAAGCTATACTTCAGAAAGATCTAAAAATTAGCGAAAATTTCTGTTTTCCTGACCCCCCATACACGTCCCCTTGGGGTCAGGATGAAAAACACGGAATATATGTGAAATAGATAGATGTTGCGAATATACTACCAAAATTTCAAACAATAATATTAATTACTTTGGTTTAGAATGAAAAATTTATGATTTTTGCGAAAAAGTCCCGCCATTTCTAAAGCAGCGGCCATCTTGAAAATTTTTTTTTTGCGTAAAACTATTTATCAATAGACATCTTTCCACTAAATATGAAGAAAATCTGTCTACTAATATTTGAGTTATCTTCCGGACAGACGGACGGACTGACTGACTGATGGACTGATGGACTGACAGACTGACAGACTGACGGACTGACGGACGGACGGAGGGCTTCACTATATCCCTACCGAACTTCGTTCGTTGGGATAATTACTTACTCCGTGCAATGGATATATCATTTGCGGGTAACTTTCACTTCTGTTTGAAGTCCAATTACGCTGGGAAGAAAAGCTATTGAAAATGGCGCCGGAGTATCATACTTCAAAATGTACCATTTCTTGTTTAACTTTCTAATGGCACGATATATATAATATTTACACCTGGTTTCAGCATAACTTTGAAGGTATAAATGAGATGTTGATGTATTTGGTCTTTTTAATTCTTTGATAAAAAATAATGTTTAATTTTTTTGTCCGCTGTAACGGAGCAGTTGCAAATGTGAACTGTAAAAATGCTCCGTCACAGCGGACAAAAAATATTAATATTATTTTTTATAAAAAAATTAAAAAGACCCCATGCATTAATATCTCATTAATACATTCAGAGTTATGCTGAAAACATATGTTAATATTATCGTGTCACTATATCATGCCATTAAAAAGTTAAAAAAGAAATGGTACATTTTAGAGTTTGATACTCCGGTGCCGTTTTCAATAGATTTTACTCCTAGCGTTATTGGACTTCAAACAGAAGTGAAGGTTACACGCAAATGATATATCCATATATTCCAAAACTGTTCAACAATGATTATTAATGCAATTACCATGACCACAACACAGCAATCATGAGCTTCCCATTTCAACACCAGTATATCTTACTTAAGTTTAAATTATTAATATGTACTTTTACAGAAAAAAAATTCTCAGCATGTTTATTAGCAATATTGAATTGTTTGGTACCTTCTAAATTGTGAGTTGACGTAGATGAAATCTCACTACTGCTGTTATAGATAGGCTCTTCTAGTTGATCCCTCCACTCATCAGCAGAGGGCAGCACATGATCTTGGCCCACACCAGTCTCTCTAAAAGCAGAACAGGGAGCTACAATGTAATGTGGCAATGATTCAAAAAGAGAACTAAACCCATTTTGGTTTACAGCAGACGCTCAAGACTAAGAGTGTCCTTTTGCAAACATTAACATCATGCCCGGTGATCATACAAAATGGATGGAGGGGGTCAAGTTGGCCATCACAACACTAATGACATTGCTCACTTTTTAAAGTTAGTTTCCATGCGTTATACAAAAAATAATCGAAATAAATTAATATTGGATGGAGGGGTGATGATGCGTCTTTTAATTGATCTCATTTCTTAGAAGCGATCAGGTACAAAAAAATACAACAAGACCTAACATATTTTGCCATGCACTGCGCCTATTCATTTGGCAATTCAGTTGTAAATTTTCTTTTGAAAAAATAAATCTTCCAAATTTGTTGAGTTTTCTTGCAGAACTCGCCTACTCCCCCCACATTTGAAATGCATAAACAATGAACATAATAGCACAATTAACTATTCAAAATTATCATTGCTAGGCAACAAAACATACTGAATCACAAACATTATTCCATCTGGCATCTTTCTATGAATTGTGAAGGACAATAAATGAAAGATGTTTCTTATTGCAAAAACCTAAGAGATCCTTCCTAAGGGTGAGCCAAAAAATTGTCCATATTTTTTATTTTGAAATAACTTATTTTGGCCTAATCCTGGATATCATGTCATGTTTATCATTTTCCTTGTTCATTCCTCTCATATCCCTCTGCTATATAACTATATAACCCTGTGTTATATTACCTGAAATGTCCACTTGCAGAAACCATTTCCCTTTTAAAGTTAAGCATCCATTCCTAGAATCAAACATTTACGACTATGAACATGCATGGAGAAACAGAAAAAGTAAAGCTAGAAACATGCATAGCTAAAGGTATACTATGCACATACTTCAACAATCATTTGCACTTTAACAATGTACATACTTCCTAATACATGAAGATGCACATGCTTGTAAAAACACTGCAAGACTGTGTTCATCCTTCTAGAAACCATGTAGTGCATATTTCTAGAAACATGCACTTAAAGAGCAATGTAAATGTGCACTTCATACTTCTAGAAACATGTACTTCAAGCAACATGCACATGCCCATACTTATAGAAAAATTCACTTCAAGCACCATGCACATCCAATGTACTTCTAGAAACATGCACTTCAAGAACCATGCACATATGGATACTTCTAGAAACATGCAGTTCAAGAACCATGCACATATGCATACTTCTAGAAACATGAATTTTAAGAAGCATGCACATGTGCATACTTCTAGAAACATGTACTTCTAGAACAATGTACATATGCATGCTTCTAGAAACATGTATTTCAAGAACCATGCACATATGCATACTTCTAGAAACAAGCAGCTCAAGAACCATGCACATATGGATACTTCTAGAAACATGCAGTTCAAAAATCATGTATATATGCATACTTCTAGAAACATGTACTTCAAAAACCATGCACATATGCATACTTCTAGAAACATGGAGTTCAAGAACCATGCACATATGCATACTTCTAGAAACATGCAGTTCAAGAACCATGCACATATGCATTCTTCTGAAACAAGCAGTTCAAGAACCATGCATATATGCATACTTCTAGAAACATGTACTTCAAGAACCATGCACATATGCATACTTCTAGAAACATGCAGTTCAAGAACCATGCATATATGCATACTTCTAGAAACATGTATTTCAAGAACCATGGACATATGCATACTTCTAGAAACATGTACTTCAAGAACCATGCACATATCCATACTTCTAGAAACATGCAGATCAAGAACCATGCACATATGCACACTCCACATGTGCACACTTCTAGTAATGTTGCAAGAACCATGTTCATATACTTCTAGAATCATGTACCACAAGATAAATGCATATTGTAAATATTTCCAGAGGAGAGAGTCATACATGACTCCACAAAACATGTACATCACGACATATGCACAGAAAGAAAGATGCAACAGTGCATAATAACAAAATGATGTCTTTGTAAATTACAGAGCAATATTATAACTATCTTCAAAACAGATAAATAGGTTTTGGTGTAATAGGTCTGCTGTTGAACATGCAACTTTCCTTATGATAAAAGACAAAGACTATTATTATATTGTTTGCAATTGTATGAATCATACAGGGGCGTAGCCAGCAATTGTTAAGGGGGTTGCAATTTTGAGGTTTTGCATCTCTGCGAGCCAAGTGAGCCCCAAGGTACAGTGGTTCACCCTCGGAAATTTTTTATAAAAATTAAATTGTATATGGTGCATTCTAAGCATTTCAAACTATAATTTGTTTATGTTTTTTCAACAAATTTTACAAAATTGCTTTTTTCTTTTTTTGGAAGTGGGGGGAGGTGCACCCATCGCACCCCTGGCTATGCCCATGTCATATAAATTGCCTTCATTCTTTAGCTCTTGCTCTATGCTAACTGCTTACTTTAAAACACTTTAAATTCGCGGGAGCAATTTTCGCGGATTTGTACATTTGATTCTTTTCGCGTATTCATGTTTTCGCGATTTACCACCACAATACGCGAATAATGAATCAATTCTGTGTTGTAAAATAAATGTTAACAAAGTTAATTTCATTGTCAAATTGCATTGAAATGTGATAAGGAATAAAACCTGATTAGGAAAATATTTAGTGTAAGATATTATTGTTTTGGATTAATATTCTAATTGGTTGTATCTCGGGGTATTATCTTGTTAATAACGCAGATGCGAGTAGGTAGTTACCAATTTCACCACCAGGTGGCTCGTTCGGGTCAGATAGCATGGCGGGTATAGTAGAAAGTTCCCTTTAACTTAAATTACATCTGTTTTAGTGGTTCAATTTTTATATAACCCTTATGTATCTAATAGTAATGCAAATTAAAAAAATGTCCAGTAAAGGAAAATGTTATTTGTCGATTACAAGAAAAGATATTTCACTTTTTGTGACTTTGTAACATGGGGTCTATGGGGATTCAACCCGAACTAGAAATCACATTTTCAAAATAAATAAATTTTTCAAAGTTGATAAACAATTTTCGAAACCATATTTCTATATGTACTTTTACATGTAGATTTCAAATATGACATCACTTTGACTGAATTTTGAATATTTAGTGACATAAATCAAGATTATTTCTACTCGCATCTAGTCTATTAACAAGATACAATTGCCACCTGTTGTTTCCGATTGAAAATAAAACTCATGATAGGTTATTATAAACATAATCCTAGAAATAAACTTACAAACTTTCTTGTCATGAGTTAATACCCGTTGATTGGAATGTGTGAATGGAGGAATGAAGTCCCAGGGGAAAGAAACATTTTACCTTAACTTAAATTATTACTATGACGATTTCTTAACACATTACTTTAAATGTGATGTCCAATTCTTAATTCGCAGGTTCCTGAATTCGCGATTTTACACTCACGCGAATATACGCGAATTCAAGATGCTCACGAATTTAACATGTTTTACAGTATTTCAGTCAATTTTTCTCTACAATTTAAAGGGAGTAAACAATTGTCTGACATATGATATGGGCATAAAATTTTAGGACAAGATCACATCCCTACATGTACCTTGCTTTCTCTCTCAGATGGAGCGGAATAGTACCGAGATTTTTCTGCATTTTCATCTTTCTTTGCATGGATAATTTTGAAAGGCCATGGAGTCTCGGACTGTGGGATATCACCAGCTGTCGTTACTCTGTAGAAGGAACATTACAAATGGAATAACATAGAGGATATTATAGAGTTATAAACCATGACAAAACAATTAAGATAAGATAAGGCATTAACATGACAAAAATGTCACCACACAAAGTTGCTCACAATATTATGAGTTCAATCTTGGTCAGATTTTTTTTAAAAAAAAGATAATTTTGAAAAAAAATTAATCAATTTGAAGCAAGTTGAAAAAAGGCCTTTTTGACCCTGAGAATGAAGGTGAAATTTTAAATCTTAAGTCAAATTTGAATTTCTGAGAATTTGTAGATAATTCTGGAAAAGAAATTTGGTCAATTTGAAGCAATTTGAAAAAATACCTCTTTTGACCTTGAGGTCATTAAAGGTCAAATCTGTTTTTGGCCTTGAGAAGGTCATTGAAGGTCAAATCTTTAGTCAGATTTGAACTTTTGAGAACTTGGAGAAGATTTTGAGGTCAAATCTTAAATATAGAGTCAAATTTGAACTTCTGAAAACTGTTCATGATTTTGAAAAAAAATTAATGTTAAACAGTACTTGTTAATTAATCATTAATTTCAGAGAATAATGATTTATTTTCGAGGTTTTGAATGTAATCTTGATCAAGCTGGTTAGATGACTAACGAAACGTCGAAAATAAATCATTATCCTCTGAAATTAATGAACTTTAGTTATTTGGTATTTGTTAAGTTAGTGGAAGTTGTAAGAATTTGTTGCAGATGGCAACCACCAACCGGCACCAACTACCTATCGCCAACCGCCATCCGTGGATCACTGTCACAAGAGACAGAGACCATAACAATATGTCACCACTTTTTGGTGGTTACATAAAATGCTACTTTATATACTCACTGGGTCTCAGTATGTTGCCAAAGCCTCAACAGCATGGAAAACAACTTTAAATATGTCATTTTGTGATGACTTTGGTTAAAAGTAATTACACATTTCGAAACAGGAGTTCATGTGCACTCAGCATAAACAGCCTGTTCACCATTGAATACATTTATTGTCCTACATTCTGTGGTTTTTCTATAACTTGGTTTTACAAATAATATTGATAACAGAAAGCTGCCATTATGAATTTATGTTTTCAAGATGGCTGTCACAACAGCTTTTTTATAAGATTTACTTGTAATACTTTGAATTAATTCTGCATGAAAATAAAATTCGCTAAACAATAAAGAGTTGTTATATATCATCAAACTTCATCTTTCAGCAAGTGTACACAGTTTGAAAGTCTGAGTAAAAATTTTTTTGAAGGTTAAGTCTGAATTTATTGAAATTGTTTAATGTTCAAAACCCTTACTTATCATATCCATATAAAGAATATGCAGCGAATGGTTTCTTTGCCTTTTCATCATTAAAGTGGTAAACACATCCCTTTGAGAGTACAATATACACCTGACGCCCTGAAACAGAGAGAAAACAATATCCAAATTGGTCTATATCCTCAAATTGAAATCTAAATCCAGGTTCTCTAGGGTTTATGTGCTCAATTCTTACACCAAAGTTACTCATAATATACTTTATCCTAAATAAAAAGGGAGCAATTCTCATAGATTCACTTTAAACTTTTGTGTTGTATATAAAAAATAAAACAGTGAATAAGGCAAATGTGATTTTGTTCAACGTGACAAGAAATTTTCAAAACTTAAGTTGACATAATCTTAAAAGCACACACAACTTTAAATGCATCACATGCTTAAATCCATTCATTTAACATAGTAAATGGGACTACCAAATCACGTAAATTCCTTAATGACTTACAATCTGCCATTTTGGAGACAGTATTCCCAACAAAATGTCCTAACTGACTTAGTTTTTTCTTGTCTTTGCTGCAGGCATCATTGGAGGAGCTATTTATGAAACGAAAACGTGGTGGGATTCTCAAAAATCCGCAAAAGTTTTCGCTTTCTTGTAACAAATCCTGACATGCTGAAAACATAATGATTAAAGGAACATTATTTTTAATTCTGCTCCCAAATTATTCTACATTTTTTCATTAATATTTAACTGTCTGCATCAATAGATGTTAATCGGAAACAAGATTTGTACCAAGTCTATTGATGGTGCAATTAAACTTACAGATCAATGATAAGCATCATATCCATTTACTTGAAAGAGATATATCATATGAAATATATGTTCTATGATATGATATGATTGATTAAGCTCAATTCGACAGTCACCATCTGATATGACTCCAGACATTGACTTAACCATTAGCTCCAACTGTGTGAACATGGGAAATGAATTCCAGTTTTAATGAAATAGAGTACAACTGTGTGAACATGGGAAATGAATTCCAGTTTTAATGAAATAAAGTACAACTGTGTGAACATGGGAAATGAATTCCAGTTTTAATGAAATAAAGTACAACTGTGCGAACATGGGAAATGAATTCCAGTTTTAATGAAATAGAGTACAACTGTGTGAACATGGGAAATGAATTCCAGTTTTAATGAAATAAAGTACAACTGTGTGAACATGGGAAATGAATTCCAGTTTTAATGATATAATGTACAACTGTATGAACAAGGGAAATGGGTTTTAAGTCCAGTTTTAATGAAATAAAGGGAAAATTCAAACATACTTGAATGAAACCTGTATTGATTTAGCATTTATATACCATATAAATTCGCTTTAATTCTGTATTTGAGCTAACATTTGTGAATGCAACTGCCAGCTGTCGGGTTAACCTATCAATTTGCATTTGTTAATATAAATTTTAATGTCGAAATAATAAAGAAACCCATCAGTCAACTAGTGATCAAATGACTTTTTATGCTCAATAAAGCTGCTCGGTTGAATAAGCAAACAGATCCTAAGTCAGTGTTAGTAGCTGATTAAATAGACAGTACAACCTGTTATTTAGGCCAGCGATCAGGTTTGACTCCATAACTTGTAGCTACCAGGAGGCACGGCAGGTACTATTCATATGAAAATTGTAAATAAGTTGCAGGTCATCAAATTGCAATCAAACTGGTAGCTGGCAGTCTGCAGTGGCATTCGCAAATGCTACCTATACCATGCATTTTAATATAAGATGATGATAATAAGTGGATTATGTTAATTCTGCCAGTTAAAGATTAACACTACATGAAAAATAAATAATTTTCAAGTTGGGAAAGTGATGGATAATTGAACATGTCAAAAATATACTAATATAGATTTGTCAAGTACATTTATTTTACAATATACTTGGGCAAAACCATCTCCATGCATATGCTGTCAGTTCTCTTAATATTTCAGTTAGTCAGATACATTTGTTTATTTCCATATTTCCGAATGTATAATAGATTTTAATATGTATTTTATTCCAACTGTTCTAGAACTACACATGAATAGATTCATCGAGCATATATTCATTGAGCAGTTAGAATATTACCAGAAACTGAGCCCTAATAGAGGGATTATACCCACTCCATTTGCAACTTTACTATACAGTGTAGTAGGGTAGAGTGTATGAAAGATCATTATGGACTACAGTGAATATCACTTAATCTAAAAAGTAACCAGTGCCGACAGTGTAGTTAGAAGACATCATCTACCAGCCGTCATGCCTAGCAAGCCTTTAATGTGCATACTGGTAGAAGTGATGAAAATTGAAAACTGACAGACACACTTTGATATGGTTTATACTTTTAGAAAATAAAATATAGGGTGCAGCATTTGACTAAAATCACACTGGAATACAAGAATGCTAGCTCTCTTAATGATTCAAAATCTCTCGAACCCCCTAACATTGCTAGTCTATAGATAGATACATGTACATCAATCATAAACTACATGTACTTGAATTAAAATAATGAATAAACAAAATCTATGCTATACTAACCTATAGTTTTATGTGGCACAGGTATTTGCTTAGTGGCAGTTCTAGTGAGAGGTTGAGCTGCCATTATTATGCTTCTTCATACATTATGCCTCTTCATACATTATGCTTCTTCAATTTAGTTCTAAAATGAACTGACACATGTCTCTTATGAAATCATGTCCTTTTATCTTATCCTATATGGTTCTTAGAATTTCAGATTTGATTATTCGTTCCTTGAAATGTGATAAGGTCTTTGATGTCAGTTCCCCGCTACTTGTGAAGAATACTTGGAACTGCATGTACAAATACCCAATATTTTTTCTGAAAACACATTAACAGTATAATAATTAATAATCAAAATGTATTATATTTTAAAATGGAGGGATTGCCCACTATAGTAGCCCAGACAAGCCATGCCTCTTTTTCTGATAACTTTTTCAATTCTAAATATTGATCCATGAAATTATCACAATTAGTTATCACAGGATAAACTTCAAAGCATTCCTGGCATAAACTAGAAAACAGCAACTCCATGGAGTAGCAAATCCCAAAGAACACTACATAAATCATGAATCTGTCACAATGTAATATTTACCATCTACTCTTCCCTTCAATAAATATTTGAGATCATTGTAGTATCATGTAATAATATCTCTATGTAATATAATGGTTAATTCCTGCTCTAGGCAGCCATTTTCTTAAGCACAAATCAGAAAACAATACCATAATTGTGATCTACTCTAAAATTCCTTAAATTTGAGTATAATTGCGAAATCCCACATTAGGTGGCAATTTGTTTTTAGAAATATAGTAAACTTCATCACATTCATTGTTAACATGATTGCTTAAGATTTCATAGAAAGTGTCCTAATATATATGTCACCTTCAGAAGTATTATTTATCAATCAATGTAAACAGATATGACCATTATACACAAACGATAAATCAATAGCTAAAGATAATAACCTTATGGTTCTTACAAACAGGTTAATTCAGTCTGATATGCCAGAGGTATGTTACCCAGGGGGGAAGGGGGGTTATACAGGGAGGTGTAGCTCAGATTCAAAATATCCATCCACATCTAGGAATTTTTTCTCATAAAATGGACCCACATCTAGGGTTTTTATTTAAAAAATAAACCTACTTCAAGGTAATTTCTTAAAAACAAGACTACTTCAGGCAATTTTTTTTTGAGAACCACCCAGTTTTTTCCAGGATTTTCAAAAAGTAGACCCAGCTCTAGGGATTTTTCTGTCAAAATAGGACCGATAAATGGGACCGATATCTGACCCACTTTAGTGACACATCACCATATAGAGAATATATTGGAGTACCCCCCCCCCCGGGTATGTTACTTATATTATATGACATCATTCTATCCCATCATAATTTCAATGGTTACAACAATGGATCTAAGACTGTTCTGGTAATCCATCTAAGATTACTTACTCTACTAATTGCCCTACACAACCTTGTGATAAATGCACTTATCATATGTTATTAGTCATGAATTATCATTACACCATTTACCTCAGCTATATTAGTTAATATTGGTAGTTCTTCAAGTACAAATGAGATAAAACTGGATAATAAATTAAAAACACATGGAAGTTCCTGTGTACAAAGTGATGCAAAAAAGAAGCCCTACAATTTTGGAAAACATTTTTTTTATTACGATAGGATCTTTATGAATTGACTTAGTATTAGAATGGCTATAAGGTGGTTAACTAGATAACAGCAACTCCGCGGAGTAGCAAATCCCAACGAACAAAATATCAATTACCGAATTCCAATCAATTATACTCATTACTTTGGTTAAAATTGAAAAATTTAGATTTTAGAATTGCGAATTCCTGCAAAGCAACCATTTTGAATTTTCTGAGGTGCAAATCTGAAAAATTATACCATAATTGTGATCTATTCCAAAATTCCTTCAATTTGAGTATTATATAGCCATACTTTGAAGGGATCAAAAAATTATTGCGAAATCGTACATTAGACGGCCATTTTGAATTTTACGAGGCTCGAATCAGAAAAAAGATACAATATTTGCAATCTACTCTTAATTGCCTTTCATTTGAGTATAATACAGCTATACTTCAGAAAGATATAAAAATTAGCAAAAGTTTCTGTTTTCCTGACCCCCCATACCCCCTGGGGGTCAGGATGAAAAACACGGAATATATGTGAAATAGATAGATGTTGCGAATATACTACCAAAATTTCAAACAATAATATTAATTACTTTGGTTTAGAATGAAAAATTTATGATTTTTGCGAAAAAGTCCCGCCATTTTTAAAGTGGCGGCCATCTTGAATTTTTTGCGTAAAACTATTTATCAATATACATCTTTCCACCAAATATGAAGAAAATCTGTCAACTGATATTTGAGTTATCTTCCAGACGGACGGACTGACTGATGGACGGACCGAGGGCTTCACTATATCCCTACCGAATTTCGTTCGTTGGGATAGCCTTATACATGATTGTGAGGCACTTTAATGTACTTCTTCGAGGGTAAAGTGGCTGCCATTGGAGCTTGTGCAGGCTATTTATGACACCAGCCTCCATTCTATAGTTTCAATTTCAATACATAACTTTTCTCTCAAATATTTTCTGAATAATATTTAAAATGAAATGGATAAGTATTCTAATTATCATTACACTGGTCCATGGTCTATCTACATGTATTCTACAAATACTGTTATAAGACTGAAAATGTGGTTACTCTCTTGACTTGTGGCATTTTTGGTTTCAGGAGATGGAAACGTATTTTTCGTTCCAAAAGCAGGTAGGTATAGTTTTATTATAGTATATTTCAATTTTCATAGTGTTCCTCACCTGCCAATATGCTCATCACTTTTCCAGTACTTCAGGGAAACAATGCCATTGTTATTAATTGACAGCCACCCATCTAGAGTCTAAGTTAGTAACTTGTACAAACCAAAATATACAAAAGTTACATCTGGCTAATGACTTCTGTCAGCTGAGCTCCACGGTAGAGTAAGAAGACTGTACTGAGTGTAAAGGTCTATTTTTCCAGAAAGAAAGTGTTATCTGTCGACACAAGTTCCTTTGAGATATAGTCTAGATTGAAATAGCAACCTATAGAATAATAAAAAGTTCTCACCGCAGTACCGACAATGAAGAATGAAAATACACAGACAAGGAAGTAAATCCCGAAAATTATTTCAGAAAAGTTGACACAAACATTTCAAAATTACACAGTCCAAATTAGCAAATTGCAGCAATTGTACAAAACTCAAATAAAATTATTTATTTCTTTAAAATTTATATTATTTTAAGTGCTTTTTGCTATTTAGTGAGTCAAGCTTGAGAGAAAATATGTATTTATATGTACGATATTTCTACTAGATTTTGGAATGTGTTTTTACAATTAACCTCGTACCTAAGTCCGTCAATTTCAGGTTATTATATCTGAATCAAAGTGTCGTAATCTAATTATGCTTCTTTCATCAACAATAATTTTTCGTATTATTTCGACATGAATGCACAAAAACAGATAAACCCAGTTAAAATGTCTTTAAAGGAAGTCAATATAGGTACGAGGTAGACGTCCATTTTTTCAAAAGCATGTCAAAACGACACCGGATTGATGTTGGCGATTCACAGCCCAAAAAACCAAAGTAAGTATTCAATTAGTTAGAAATATTTCAATGGTAACACCAACTTCAAATATACGTTATGTTAAACAGACATTATTGTTGCGTAGACACTAAAATTCGCTAGGCATTAAAATTTTAGGTTCAGCTGGAAAATAATTACAGTGGGGATCATAAAGAATTGCAAAAGCTATGAAAATTACATGCTGTCGCACATGTAATAAATTCTTAACTCAGTGTATTCAGTGCTCTATTTTCTCCGTCTTAGTAAGTCCAAATATAGTGGAATTCGTGTCCCTAATGACAAATAAGAACTTCAAAAGTAGAATTGGATATTCACATGTTATGCCGACTCTTCAAATGTTGAGGTGATTTTGTCGCCCGATTGCGCCGGAACGGAGGATTGGCTCCCAGAATGCAACATGACACGTGCCAGCTTTCAAAATACTGTTCCACCATTTTGAAACCTGTCGGGCCAAAGAAAAATATATGTCCGTTTCCGGAACCCCGACCGACCCTAGTTTGAACCCCCGACCCTAAGACATTTTTTACAATCAAATTTTTTAATCTGTCAATCAGTTCATATGGTTAGAATAAGGAAAGAATGTGATGTAACCACGTGTCTACTTACTAGCTTGTTATGTCACCACCAAAAGTGGTGACATATTGTTATGGTCTCCGTTTTTTTTTGCGACGGCGGTTGGCGTCCGGCGGTTGGCGTCCGGCGGTTGGCGTCCGGCGTCTGTAACAATTTCTTACAACTTCCTATAACTTAACAAATACTGTTTAGACTGACTTCAATTTTTTTCTAAATCATCTACATGTTCTCAGTAGTTCAAATCTGACTTTAGATTTGACATTTGACCTTCAATGACCTTCTCAAGGTCAAAAGGGTCTTTTTTCAACTTGCTTCACATTGACTAAATTTTTTTTCAAAATCATCTACATGTTCTCAGAAATTCAAATCTGACTTTAGATTTGACATTTGACCTTCAAATCTGACTTTAGATTTGACATTTGACCTTGAATGACCTTCTCAAGGTCAAAAAAGGTCAAAAAGGTCTGTTTTCAACTTGCTTCAAATTGACTAAATTTTTTTTTCAAAATCATCTACGTGTTCTCAGAAATTCAAATCTGACTTAAGATTTGACTGAAGATTTGACATTTGACCTTCAATGACCTTCTCAAGGTCAAAAAAGGTCAAAAAGGTCTGTTTTCAACTTGCTTCAAATTGACTAAAAAAAATTTTCAAAATCATCTACGTGTTCTCAGGAATTCAAATCTGACTTTAGATTTGACTTAAGATTTGACATTTGACCTTCAATGACCTTCTCAAAGTCAAAAAAGGTCAAAAAGGTCTTTTTTCAACTTGCTTCAAATTGACTTAATTTTTTTTTCAAAATCATCTACATGTTCTCAAAAATTCAAATCTGAGTTTAGATTTGACATTTGACCTTCAATGACCTTCTCAATGTCAAAAAAGGTCAAAAAGGTATTTTTTCATCTTGCTTCAAATTGACTAATTTTTTTTTTCAAAATCATCTACATGTTCTCAGAAATTCAAATATGACTTTAGATTTGACTTGAGATTTTACATTTGACCTTCAATGACGTTTTCAAGGTCAAAAAAGGTCAAAAAGGTCTTTTTTCAACTTGCTTCAAATTGACTTAATTTTTTTTTCAAAATCATCTACATGTTCTCAAAAATTCAAATCTGAGTTTAGATTTGACATTTGACCTTCAATGACCTTCTCAAGGTCAAAAAAGGTCAAAAAGGTCTGTTTTCAACTTGCTTCAAATTGACTAAATTTTTTTTTCAAAATCATCTACGTGTTCTCAGAAATTCAAATCTGACTTAAGATTTGACTGAAGATTTGACATTTGACCTTCAATGACCTTCTCAAGGTCAAAAAAGGTCAAAAAGGTATGTTTTCAACTTGCTTCAAATTGACTAAAAAAAATTTTCAAAATCATCTACGTGTTCTCAGGAATTCAAATCTGACTTTAGATTTGACTTAAGATTTGACATTTGACCTTCAATGACCTTCTCAAAGTCAAAAAAGGTCAAAAAGGTCTTTTTTCAACTTGCTTCAAATTGACTTAATTTTTTTTTCAAAATCATCTACATGTTCTCAAAAATTCAAATCTGAGTTTAGATTTGACATTTGACCTTCAATGACCTTCTCAATGTCAAAAAAGGTCAAAAAGGTATTTTTTCATCTTGCTTCAAATTGACTAATTTTTTTTTCAAAATCATCTACATGTTCTCAGAAATTCAAATATGACTTTAGATTTGACTTGAGATTTTACATTTGACCTTCAATGACCTTTTCAAGGTCAAAAAAGGTCAAAAAGGTCTTTTTTCAACTTGCTTCAAATTGACTTAATTTTTTTTTCAAAATCATCTACATGTTCTCAAAAATTCAAATCTGAGTTTAGATTTGACATTTGACCTTCAATGACCTTCTCAATGTCAAAAAAGGTCAAAAAGGTATTTTTTCATCTTGCTTCAAATTGACTAATTTTTTTTTTCAAAATCATCTACATGTTCTCAGAAATTCAAATCTGACTTTAGATTTGACATTTGACCTTTAATGACCTTCTCAAGGTCAAAAAGGTCAAAAAGGTCTGTTTTCAACTTGCTTCAAATTGACCAAATTTTTTTTTCAAAATCGTCTACATCTTTTCAGAAGTTCAAATTTGACTTTACAAGTTCTCAGAAGTTCAAATCTGACTTTAGATTTGACCTTTGACCTTCAATGACCTTCTCAAGGTCAAAAAGGTCTTTTTTCAACTTGCTTCAAATTGACTAATTTTTTTTCAAAATCATCTACATGTTCTCAGAAGTTCAAATCTGACTTTAGATTTGACATTTGACTTTCAATGACCTTTTCAAGGTCAAAAAGTTCAAATCAAACCTTCTTAAGGTCAAAAGGTATTTTCCAACTTGCTTTAAATTGACCAAATTGTTTTAGGTGGTGACATTTTGTCATGTTAATGCCTTGTTCTATGTCATCCATCGGACTAGGTTACATCGTGGAACGCAGCCAAACACGAAAATGAAGCCAGTATTCTGAGGTTATAAAATCTAAATCTAAATAATTTCCCATTTGCAGCCCCTTGGAGATTTCCGGAATTGAACAAAGTAGCGAACGTTGCGATCTTTCAACTTTAGTTCGTTGTTTTTTCACCACCTTATGTGTACTGTTTTCATTTAGGAGGCGGTCTTATTTGAATGCATCATTACAGGTCTTTATGAATCAATAGATCAATAAACAGCTCTAAAAATACAATTTAGCAGTTTCTTTCATTGCGTACTGCGCATGTTAGGCACGAAAACAATTTAGCAGTTTCGTTCGTTGCGTAATTGGGCCTTCTATAATCAGTAGCAAATGCTCGGAAAACATTTTCCAAAATATTTACTTCCGTTTTCCTTGAAGACATGATTGGGTGACACGTCATTGACACGTGATTAAGTCACATGATCGATACAGTAACTAGTCACGTGATCAGACATGTGTCACGTGTCAGTCACGTGAGCTTGCAAAATGGACGATCTAAATTTCCAAAAATTCGGCTAAGATCAAGATAGATATGCTGTTGCCTTCAGCGTCCTGTTCGGCTGCGTTCCACGATGTAACCTAGTCCGATGGATGACATAGAACAAGCCGGTAAGTAGACACGTGGTTACATCACATTCTTTCCTTATTCTAACCATATGAACTGATTGACAGAATAAAAAATTTGATTGTAGTACACTGAAAAATAAAATATTCTATCTCTGCCCCTACTCGATTGAAACAATACATTTCCTTCTGAAATGTTTTACTCACATCAGGCCCAGGTGTCCATATTTCTCATACCTTGGAACATTTGCAGTAATATTATCGTTAGGGCCCCCAAAACACTTGAAACACAGGAAATATTGTTTATTTTCTTGAAAAGTTCGCCATTTTTGCTCTTCAAAATAGAGGCCCGCAATCAACTCCCAGAGGGGTCTAGCAATTGCTAGGGAGACATCTAAGGTTTCGGGTTTCACCCCCTTCAATAAAATTTGCAATTCTCATTTTACCATGCAGATTTGAAATAAGAAAAATAAAATCTTGGGGAGGGAAACTCGAAAACACAACAGCTATTTGCATACATTTGTTTATAGTGGGAAATTTGAATTTGAATGTTTATACCACATGATTGGTCTATTATAAGAGGAGGGAAAGCCCCAGAGTTTAAAGATGACAGACATAATTACCTCTCTTGCTTACCACCTTCGTTCGGTCGAATTTTCATCGGCTAGTTATCAAATATTACACTTCAATGGGACGTTTTAAGATTGACATAGGCATATTCCGTACACCTTTCCTTCTCTTGATGTGAAATGAGAAGCTATGATATTGGTTAACACGCCAGAAATGAACATAAAATTATTCGAAGCGTATTTCGAAAATTTTGAAACCGCCATTGATGACGTCATTTGTTTGTCGACTTTTGACCAATCAGCGACGATGTCATCTCAATACAGATTTACATTATAAGCGTATGTCATCTTTGAACCCTGGTGTTTCTCCCCCTCTGGTCTATTATAGTTTGATCCGATCACATGACTTATCATCATCATCAAGTTTAGGAGGGGTGGAGGCTTTATATCCTGTAATGTTCTCCCATCTGATCTATTAAAAATTAAAACTGAATTTAGGGTAGGGAACTGATTATTGCTCACTAGTGGCTATTTGTAAAGATCTGAGTACCATGCCTTGTCCAGGAGGATTTTGAAGCTGGAAACTATCAATGATACTCTGAGAGAGGGAATTCCAATGTACCAGATGAAAATGTTATGTTCTCACAGAGACAAGTTTTCTCTGAATTGTTTGAATTAAAAATATTATTCTAATGTCTTCTAAAGCTGATTCTGTTTATTTTTGAGTCAGAAAAATTATATTTTTGAGGCATAAATTAATATGATGACAACTTTGTAACCTCTGCTGATCCAGTGCTAAATATACTGATATTTGATGTCCATGAAGGCC